ATTAGTTAGACAAAACACTAAATAAAAAAAAATGCATCAAGTTGCGAATTTTCTGTACTTCCTATTTTACTTTACATATACTTTTCCTTTTAATCCTCCAACAGTTTGATATTGGATAAAAAAGTGGATAAAAAAGTTTTCAAATTAAAAAACACGCGGATTTCTATAAATAGAGCTTCATTTGACTGATAAAGCCAGTTTAGCATTAGTGTTGATTCATAAAAAACTAATGCTGCCAGTTGAGTATTTCTAATTAGAAAACACCATTCGATTAAATTTTAGCAATTATGAGGAAAAGTGATGAAAAAAGGCAACAAGAACTGTCCAAACATCCCAGACAAACGTCTGAAAGTATAATTGCTTTTATGAAGACAGAAAATTGCTGTTACGTTCCACAAAAATTCGTTTTTTCTTTAGTTTGTTTGGCTATTTTCTTTACATGAAACATTTCCACCAAAGCAATTAGCATACAAAGTCGATAATAAAAACACAAAAAAAAAAACGTCAAGTACTGAAGTACTGAAGGCTAGCAAAACCTGCTTCATCTACTTCTCCTCTTCCTTCTATCTAATTCAACTTTTTTTTTTCCATTCAGCAACGCTAATCGTTAACATTTCAAAACCCATAAGCATAATTTTTGGATAACACTTGTTACGCACAAGAATTTATTTTTATCAGCAAAAAGTAAAGATTAAAGAACTGAAAGAGAAAAAAAAAGAGGGAAGAACAATCAAAAGAAGCATCAAAGGTCTCAAAAACGAAAAATTGTATTTTATTGAGCTTTTAAAACGATGCAAAAAATAAAGATGAAATTCCTATTTGTAATGATTAAGGAGATGCTTATCCGACTTCTGAATCAGGAAAAAACATAAAAGTTTCAATCCTAGTAAAATGTTCAAGTGTCCAACAAATAAAATGTAATAAGTAAAGGCGAGGTAAAGATCCCACTGACATAGTTATTCAAAGTTTGTCTGTGCTGTCTTTGCAACATTTTTCATAGAAATTGCGGAGAAGTGAGACAGTAAAAAGTCATAACTTTTGGACTGTTCCTAGCAAAAACCCAACATATTTTCCAAGGCTAAACGCCTCGTCAGTAATTTTCATCGTAGGCATGAAATCTGTAAGATACTTAATGACAAAATTTCAAAGACCGCTCTTCAAAATAGTTAAAAGCACTTACTTGATGTGAACAAAGATGGGCGAATTAAAAGCTGTACTCAGAAGTCGAAAATAACGCAGAAAAAACTACGACGGCGATTCTTTAAAAACCTATTCAGACAAATCTATAATGCTTTTTGAAACGCTCTCACACTGGTTGGGTTTTCAACACGAAGCTTTTGTATCAGGCTAAAGACATCAAAGTTCTAAAACAAAAAATGATTAGCAGTCACTTTTCAACGTGAAAACTGAGATTTTCAATTGACATGGTAAGAAAAAAATTGAAATGTGGCGAAACGTATCACAAAATAAAAAATTAGGCGGAAAACAGAGGACTAAAACTTTTTTTGTAAGCTTCCTCAATTGACCTCAAATATTGAATCTAGCAAAAATTTCTGGGATAAATCTAACATCTTTTCTAACTCAGCAATGTCTCCGTTTCATTATTCAAGATACTTTCTATAGCAATAAAGCATACCATTTCCCAGAATGACTGAGGACGTTTATGCTTTTCAATAAAAATTATTAAGTGCCATTCTGAAAAGCCGATAAACTTTATCTTTAATTGCGTCTCAGTTCTGCAGATTCTTCTTTTTATAGGCATAGAATTTATTGCTTAGATAAATAATGCTTTTCCAAGGGTGAGTTAAAAAGTTAAGGTAGCACTGCGTAACCAAAAAAATCATCTGTTGAGATACTGCAAATGTAGTGCTAGCGTAACACTATACTGTAAAGTATTTCTAGTGGAGTTTTATACGCCTTCCGGTGCTGCTATTACCGGGAACAACTTTTTTTCTCATTCACGAAAAGCAACACTTTACAGATGTCAGAAATTTCTACAGAAAGCGGAAGACAACAAATGAGATTTTTTAAAGCGATTAACGTTTCTTTTAGCTTTTCGTCTCCTTACGACAGTGAAATTAAATTTGGTCGACTGAGACCAAGAATTAGTTTTTATTAAAAAGCAGTGTTGTTGTAAACAAAAAGTTTGAAAAACTTATGAGAAGAGTAAAATGTTGAAAACCTTTTACGTTTCCTCTCTTCTGTTATTTCAAAAAACTCCCTTATTTATGGAATTAAAAGCCTACATAAGCTAGATTACAAGTTCTAACGCACTATCTTAGAATGGAAAACTGCGAATGATGGTGGTTTTTCTGTATAGTTATCAGAAGACGTATCGCTAATGCAGGAATGGAGAAAGGAACAAAAAAAGTCTCTAAAAGTCGCTTAAAAGTAATGGGTCATTAAGTTTAAGACACGAATTTCAATGTTTCTTCTGTATTGACTAGTCATAAAAACCAACGCAGTTTTGCAAAACGGCTGTTAGACGATAACTCCAAAGTGTCGTACGAAATGCATAATATGTATCCGGAATTTGCAGATATACAGACACGTTTTTCACAGCAATTAAACAACTTCCAATGGTGCTCAACATCCACCTTATTTTATTCTGACCTACTGACTAGGTCAGAAACTCTTGCTTTAATAGTTACAGCAACCCATTTTAATGAAAAAGTCGCTGATGAACAGTTGTGCTACCGTTCCGCTACTGGAATGATGGAAGTTTGCCGTTGCGGATGGAGGAAATGAAAGTACTCTGCGCCGTACTCACGGTTTGAAATGAAGGTGTAACGCCAGTTCGAAGGTTTATACAGAAAAAGTTGCTCTGACCGGTTGGCGGATGATTGGAATTGTCAATTTAAAAAAATCTTTTGCTACTGCTGTGGCTAATGCTTCCAAATATTTTATCTTTACTGGAACTAATACTTTGTAAAACCTCAAATGCAAGGCTTCATTTAGAGCAAAAAAACTGATCTACCAGCGCTCAGGCATAAGTCTCATCATAAGTAATACTGGCATTTGATTTTTTCATCACTTCAATATAAGCGCCATGGCTTTAAGTGAGAGATTTACAGAATCTGGGTGGCCTTATAGAAGAACGTCGGTAAGGAAGCCAACGTTTTAGACAAAAGTCGATCAAAACGACTGAACGTTTTTCAGTGACCAAACTGACGAGCAAAAAGCAAAGGAGAAGGACTTTCTTCTCTGAAGTAAAGCATGATTCAGTACCGTCTGCTGCATACCGTTACATATGTCAACATTTCGGTGAGAATGCTTAGCTTAAATTAAGTACGGAAATTGCTGCTCCGGACAGATCTAGATGTCTTACGAAGTTTGTCTTCGTGAAAATGTTGAGTTTTGGAGTTCAAAAATGGGCATCACGGGTCTTCGTACCTACGCCAGAGGAGTTAATCAAGAAGAGTCTTTGTTGCATAACTGATATTTTTTGCAGCACTTGAACGTCCAGCTTCCTTAGCCAACAGGACTGAAAAAAAAAAGTTTAAAACAGTATTAAGAGAGTCATGCGCAGTGAAAACGCTCTGCATGTTCGATTGATTTAACTTTCAATATTTTTTAAAAATATTCTACGCTATACATGTTAGAGCTTGTAGACTCCTTGCGTGGCTGCTTATAATTTGCAAGATACGATAATGTCTTTTATGAGCGCGACTGTTTCGACTTTCGTACTGTTCCCACGTGCAACGTGTAAAAGGCGTCAGTAAAGCTAAAGAGATAATTGTAGATGAGCAAGTACTTTATGCGGTTTACTGGTTGTCTAAACTTAAGTTGAACAAGGAAATCAGGGTGAAGAGGAGTAAGGATAATCGTTTTGAACTGCTCTTCAGGGTGCGTATAATTTCCACTTCCAAAAGTGTTTTTACCTCGTTCGAAATTTTCGCACATTTGCTGAATGATTTAAAAGTACGTCTACGGGTAACGAACGCTTTTTACAGATCCGGCATAAAGTCCGTATGGCTGTTGACTTTTTTTAAGAAACAATTGTCGTTGTTTGACTATTTCGGAATTAAACTATTTTTTAATGTAAAACGTATCTTTTCTCGATTACTTTAAACATTTCTGTTGGCTTAAAAATCGCTTGATTTACATGTAAGTGGACGTGACTTATAGAGGAGATAGTGGGTGAGTGCCCCACTTTTTTATCGATGTAAAATATAAGACGTTTTTGAAAGTTACTTGTTTGTCGTACAGAAAGGTGGAGTTTTTGAGACTGTTATTGTTCAAAACCTTTGTAGTGTGTGTTTTATGCTCCATCTCAGGAACAGAACTCTTAATGATGTTCTAGTCAACTGTATTATATGAAGCACAAAATTAGGCATTTTATAGCAATTTATTTTTTGACTGTTATGGATATATACAAATGAGAGGTTGTAAAATGGTGTTATACGTGATGACTGCTATTGCTTATCAGAGCAAAGCGGTTATCTTTCTAATATAAACAAATTGTGCGTGCTGTAGAATAGCGTTGGAGGTAAACATTCCTTTTTGAACTTTAGCGTTATAGGCCTGAGAAT